AATTGTCGATCATAGAATCATGGAGTTGAACGGAGTCGATACATCAAGACATAGGGAACATGAGATATAGAAATATGTCTACCACTCATTTATGGTTGATCGTAGGATAATCCTGGGATATATTAACAGTACATACACTAATAAATATGCAGGATGGGGCCCCCAAGATAGCTAAGTTGCCTTTTAAGTGGCTTAACATGGCTTAACTATGGTTTATGGTAGATCTAACTATAGTTAATGGGGTTTATAAACCAACTTATAACTGGTTATATAAACCCAACTTGGGTTTGTTGGGAGGTTACTTTTTATCCAACATCATCCCAATTTTGGGTGTATGCAATTTCCGAAACCGCGATTGGAGAGGTTCTACTATTCGGTTTGCCTCATTACCTCGTTATAGCAAATACACCAGTTCGCTGCGATGCTGTTTCTTCACATGATTTGTTAGTTTTTTATTCTGACATGGGTTGCCATCCGGTTATTCAACGTAGCTATAGAAAATCACCATTTGTAATAGGTAAATCATCTATAAATGGGCCATTTTCCATGGCTATGTTAAATAACCAGAGGGTATCTGTAGGGAATTCACTCATCAACGGAGCGCTAGGAAAATCTCCAAGGTTTCTCTTATGGTTTTACTCATCAGAAAGGTCAACCTTTAGTCCCCAAAGCATGTGAAATCATGTTTTTTTGTTGGTGAATTCATCCATGTTCAAGATTTCTACCATCTGGTTATTTAACATAGCCATGGAAAATCCCTTATAAATGGAGGTTTATAGCTGGGGAAATCATCTATAAATGGGTCATTTTCCATGGCTATGTTAAATAACCAGAGGGTATATATTGCAAAGTTTTGGTTGATCATCCATCATTTTTCATTTTTTCCCCCATAAAAAGCCACCTCCATAGAAGATTTCCCATTGGTTATAGGTGGTAGACTACAAGGCCCCCCAGTGATGTTTTGCACCGAGTTCCATACATCAAAACCATAAACATCCATAAACCATAGAATTCACCGAGTTATTTGCAACTCACCTTAGCTAGCATAATATTTGGGGCCTCACCAAAAATATCTCATGATATATTTCCATTCTATCCAGATGAAGAAATGGATGAGACATAAAATTCCCATCTATTCAGATTATGTGGAAAAACTTGAAAAACTCATCTGGTCACAGAAAAACCACAGCATTTTGATGCTTGAAATCCACATAATTTGCTATCCATATATGGGGAAGAATCATAAATTGGTATCATAAACCCCCCAATTTTTACATAATCATCATTGGGATTCCCCGGATCCTAAGCATGATTTATGGTCAATTTTAGGGGATTTTGTGTTTTTCTGATTTGGGTGTGTCTGAAAACGGACATTAGCCCCAATTTGCCATTTAATAGGAAACATGATGATTAACCCATGGGATTTGGGGTTAATTACCTCATTTTAAGACAAACCCATTTGAAACATCCACATTTCATGCACCGCGCAACGCGCGCAACGTATGGCGGCAACGCGAAGCGGCGCCTGGTTGATGGTAATGGCCACCTCGCGTCCCGAGAGAAGCCGAAGGACTAGGAGGATCTCCACGGCCTTTTGGGAATTCGAAGTGGATATGGGGCTGGGCTGACAACTTGTTGGTGGTTAATTAATATGGTTAATATATGGTTATTATATGCTTAATGATGGTTAATATATATATATATATTGATATCATAGAAATAGATGGTTTACCTATTAATAGCATGGTGATTTTCTATAGCTATGTTAGTCATCACCAGAGGGTAAACCAACTATGATAGTATCGTGCACCAGTTGGTGGTTATCCCATTATTTATAGGGAAATCTATGGAAATCTGAGATCATATATGATATCTGGTTGGTGGTTGAGCCTACCCCTCTGAAAAATCATGGACTTCGTCAGTTGGGATGATGAAATTCCCAATATGATGTGAAAAATGAAATTAATGTCCCAAACCACCAACCAGTATATATATATATATCACATTAATCACCATTGATCAGCAATCACCATGAAAATCACCATCATTAGTCACCATGGAAATCAGCAGTCGTAGTAATCACCATGAACATCACAATCATTAAGGGTATTACCGGTATTACCATTTATCACTGGTTAATTAATCACCAGAAAATCGCCATCATGCGGGATGGGCGTTCCGTTGGTTGGATAGCGTTCAGTTGCCTGAAAAAAGTGGCCGAATTCGATTGGGTTTATGGCAGATATAACGGACTAACTAGTTTTCATGGATGTTTTGGATGCTTTCATGGGGTTTATAAACCAACGGGGCGCACCATCCTGTACGATATGAAATGGAAAACATATGCAGGTTGATACATATATATATAAGATAAGATTATAGATTGATAGATGGATCTTAAGCCATTCATGATCAAAGCATGATCTAACAGGTCTATAATGGCATTATATACATAATCGTTTGAATAATTCATAGAGGATTTGATTCATAATTATAGCTGGGATTTAAAATAGAATGCATGGAAACTTTATCATGGGGTATACAGTCCCCCCCAAAACGACGCCGATTTTCGTGTTTCCAGGATGATAGTTCGGTGATGTTTTCCTCCTAGTTTACAAGTTTCAACTCTTCGATTTTTTTGGAGGGGGTGACGATCCAAAATCAGCAGTTGTGCCGAAGGTAAATTGATAAGTTTAGAACTAGATCAAAAATCATTGGCGAATTGGCTACTTCAGCTTCAGCAAATGCGCCAATTCATGTACCCGCGGGTCTTCCATACCTTTGCTTCGTATTGAAATGAAGTTCAAAGCCTGAAAAATCCTAAATTTTGAAAACAATTCCTTTTAAACAACAAAAATCTCTTCCAGGACAAGAGAGTTTTTCACCAAGCTGCGGTTGTTTTGGGGCTGGGTTCGTTGCTTTTGGGACAGTTGAGAACTGAAACTTGTCCTGAACAGAAGGTTTGAAAGACCAACTCTTCAATGGGCTATCATAACCCAGATACAAGGGCGGTGAATAAGGTGAATTAAGAGGTACACATTTAGCCACCTTGTGGCTATCATGTACCCACAATAGGTAGGAGCAACCCTGGTTATAGTGGGGTATGACTTACTTACATCTCTTGCGCTCCTCTATGCAGCCCCTTGCGGCAGCCACCTGAGCACGAATTTCTCATGAGCCTATGGTCCTACAACGGACTCTCTAACCACAACCATAATTCAGGATATCAACCTTTCGGAATGCCCCGTTTCAACATGGCCAATCTTAGATACCCTGCAAAGAAGCTATTTTTTTTGTTGCTAGTTAGGACAGTTAGGATTCACATCCCCAAAAATACTACTGAAGCATGTTGATTCCCTACTTTTAAGATTCATCGTCCCACTATACAGCCAAAAGCATCCTATTAAAGCACGCTTGACCAAGGTTCTCCTCAGTTTCTATCTGATCCCATTCCCCATCCGCAGCGGCTGTTGCCTGGGGGATCTCCTTTTGATCTAAAGCCATGTTGTCCTGTGACAAGGACGAGTTACTTCCATCGCTCTCGTCCTCAGAATCGGATAGAGCTGGCTGCAGCTGAAGCTTCGCAGACATCTTTGCGATCTTGAATTCTTCAAACTGGGTGCAAATCATCTTGGCGTTCATGGTTTTACTCAGTTTTACTCCTCTTGGAGATGGATCCACCATGCAAAGTCATGCGAATTCAACTTGCACCATTGTTTTGCGACATTTCATTGCCAATCTTAGATACCCTAGATTTTCCAAGACTGGATTAGTTTGTATCCATCTAAGAATAACCTAGATTTCATCTAGATTTCTCTCCAATTCTGCGGCATTTTCCTCAGTCTCTGGGTTTCCCCACCATAGGTCGCTACCGTGGCATGGATTTTCCACCCCGCCCCACCGGGTCCACCGGGTCCCAAGCGCCGCCCGAACGCCCTCCCCGCCCTTGCCGCACCGGTTCCGGTGCTGTGGGGGTACCGGGTCGGGTCGGGCCATAAGCCAAAATGCTGAGGCAGTTTCCCAAGGTCCCTTGGGGAACACATCACTTACCATCTGGTTATTATGACTAACAGTTTGCCATGGAAAATCACCATGCTATTAATAGGTAAACCATCTATTTCTATGGACCATTTTCCATGGCGAACTGTTAGTCATAACCAGAGGGTACGTTGCAGTGATCAAACATGACTGATTTTTCTGGAGCTTCAAAAAGCTGGGACTTTTAAGCTGGGAACTTCATCGAAGTATTGCTGGGGGCTCGTCCAGCATGTTTGATGACCAGAAGGTAGAATAGTTATGAATACCCTCTGGTGAACTAACATAGCAATGGAAAATCACCATTCTTAATGGGAAAATCCACTATAAATAGCAATTTTCCATTGCTATGTTAGTTCACCAGAGGGTAGTTGTTCTTTATGGATGCCTCCATTCATCTGGGACCAAAAAGGATTCGACTTGGTGATTCTTTTTGGGTCCCATTGCTGTGCATGCTGGATGTCTGAGGAAGAGTCCTCCATTTTTCTTCGCTTCGGAAATAATGTTCGATCCCTTGACCTCGTTTTGCAACGCCGAAGTGCCTCGTTTTTTCAAGCCAAGCCACCTCGTTTTGAGCCTAATTCAGGGTTAAAGGAGAACGTATTTCCACCAGAAGACTGTACATGTCAAATAAAAGCGGCTGCGATTCTATTTTTTCTATTGTTGATTCTCATTTGGTGTAACCCTGAGTTGATAGAACCGTTAGAAACGTGGATAAACATATTCGAATAGTTTTTGTTGATCTAATTTTCAGTTTTGGTGGTGAAAACCCGATAAATCTGTCGGTTCAAGGAAGTCATCCAAAAAATGGGCTTGGCTATCCAACCATTCAAGACTTGGCTTACTGGTAATTTAACATAGCTATTGAACATGGCCATAGAAATAGTTGATCTACCGAACTTAGACATTGTGTTTTTTTATAGCCGTGTGAGTTTACCAGGGGGGAGCCACATTTTTACGAAACTCCTGACGCACCGCGGCGGGTTTCTGATTTTTTGTCGGCACGCGCTGGGCGCTCTTCACCTCATGGGGTATGGCCATCCCAGCAGGGGTTCCTTTCAATAATTGATGGGAATTTTCACCAACGGTAAACCAACTAATTATGAGGGAAATCCTGCACCAGTTGGTGGGTTGGTGGTTTATCCCATTATTTATAGGGAAATCTATGGAAATCTGAGATCATATATGATATCTGGTTGGTGGTTTTTCGCCCTACCCCTCTGAAAAATCATGGACGTCGTCAGATGGGATGATGATTATTCCCAATATATGGAACAATAATCCATTCATGTTCCAAACCACCAACCAGAGATACCCTCTGGTAAACTAACATAGCTATTGAAAATGGCCATTGAAATAGTGAGTTTTCCCATCAAAAATGGTGATTTTCCATATTTTTTTGTATGTTTACCAGAGGGTAATGCTTAAGACACCCCAAAAAACTGGTGGATGTCCACATGTTCCATGGACATCTGAGCGTCCACACCGATGCGCGGAGCTTTGACATCGTGAAGAGCCACCTGGAGACAGAGGAAATGCCAGGAGCTTTGCACGGGAAAATCTGGGTGGTTCAACCCAGTACAAGGTGGTGCCCCACAGTTAGCTAAGTTGGTGAACATAACTCTCATTAAACCTATGGTTTATGGCAGATATAACTATAGTTAATGAGGTTTATAAACCAACAAACATCACTGGGGGGCAACATCCTGTATAGTAAGGTCATCATTGGGCTATACAGGGATAACACT